TCATTCAAGAATGGTGGGGCGGGTCTTCGTGGTTGAAACGATCTATATTAATTAATTCTACTTCAAACTAGTGTGACCTATTTTCCATGACAAAGATATTATTATGTCCTTTTGAATTTCAAAATTTGCTATTATAAGAACGTCTTTTCGGTCTGTGAATGAATTATTCCATTGATCAAACTTAAAAGATCGGATTAACTGTAAAATGATTGTTAATATTAATGAGGGCAAATACATTAATTGCGATCACAGCCATGTGTGTAAAAAGGTTTCTCAATGAAATGAAGATGCATTTTTCATACAACCATTATTATAAATACTAATAATATGTTTTTTTTTAACTTTCAGCGCGGGCGTCGGCCGCACAGGCACGTACATAGTCCTAGACGCTCAGCTGAACCAGTTAAAGCTAACTGGCACCCTATCCCCTCTCGGCTTCCTCTGCCGCGCGCGAACGCAACGAAACCACCTCGTGCAAACCGAGGAACAATACGTCTTCGTCCACGACGCTTTGTTAGAACACGTGCGTTCAGGAAACACAGAAGTCGAGTTCCCCAAAGCGAGGGAATATCTAGTCAAACTCTTAGAGCCCATATCCGAGGAGGAACTGGCCGTTTTGGACCTCAATTCTAACAAGAAACAGAGCATGAACGATCTGACGAACGGTGTTGAGAACGGCGATACGTCAAGCATCAAGTCTAATCAAGCAGAGTGTAGCGAGCAGGATGTCATTGAGAATGGGAGTCAGGTGTCGAGCAGGATAGACTTGGATGAGGATCAGAGCAAGTCGGAGGGGTCTATGGGGGATGTGACGGAAGAGGGGGAGGGAGAGACGAAAGAGGTTCTCGTGAATGGGGAGGAAACGGAGGGAGTGTACGATTTGGCGCCGCGGTCCACGGATACTTATAGTAAGAAGATGATGGCGTATAATAACATGAATGAAGAGGAGAAAGAGGAAATTAGGAGGTGAGTGATAAAAATTGATTTTTTTTGTAATCTTGCAACATTTTTCTTAATATGTAGGTAATCACTACAGAGTATAAAACAAAGTCGCTTTCCGCTGTCTGTCCCTATGTATGCTTAGAACTTTAAAACTACGCAATGGATTTTAATGCGGTTTTTTTAATCAATAGAGTGATTCAAGAAGAAGGTTTATATGTATACTTAGCACCCGTGCGAAGCCGGGACGGGTCGCTAGTTTGTTATAATTTAGAAAAGTTGTATGTAACTTCCGTATGTTTCTAATTGTTACGTAATTTAAAAGATACAAATGTGTTTTTCCTTATAAAAATAACTTTTAGAGATTATGTATTGCATACTGTTAAAAGATGAAAGTTTCAGACAATTTTATCATTTCAGGTAACCGTCACCAGATGTGTCATGGTCATTACATTTTATTAAAATCTTCGAATCTTTGCAGGGTGAATCGCGCCGAAAACTACGCACTTCTAGAGCGCATGCGCTCGCTCGCAAACAGACATCACACGTATCAGGGCCCTCCGCCCGTCAACCTGTTGGAGAAACAATTCCTGGTACGTATAATATTCTCTTCTTAGTCGGGCACTCTTGTCAGAGTGGTCGTGGTTGCGCTGACGGGGTTCTAAACTATACAAACAGAAAAACTGGTTACTGATTCTGAAAGTGCTTCACGAGCTTTATCAAACGGTATCAATTTACAGAATAAACTGGATCTATCCGAAAATTCAGTGTTTCAGCTTCATATTATACCGGTTATTTTTCTACTAACTGATTGGGTTTATTATCTTTTATTAACAGTGTTTATTAACAAATGTTGACTAAATACAGGGCTTTAGTCCCTGTTACCTCCTGTCCTGTACCTATTTTCCTAGATATTTTTCAGATCAATTGGATTTTTTTTACCTACTAGCTCTTTGTCTCAAAGAAATTACTAAGATCCCTGTAAACCCCTCTAAGGAAGCTAACTATATCATTTTATGCTTGTCCTAGTATTCACACAGCTTTAAATCCACAGCTAATAACGAGATCGTGCGTGGAGCCGAGTGTTTGCGCGCGCGCAGCGCACAACGCAAGCAAAAACAGACCTTCTGGAGTATTGCCCTCTGACGCCGCTAGAGTCATGCTTGTGCCCAAACCGGGAGTCGAAGGTTAGTCTATTGGTTAAAATAGGAAGAAGTGGTTTAAGGTGGCTTATAATAGACTAAGAGCTAGTGAACGCCAGACCTACGTCATTTTATAAAAACTGAAAGTTTGTCAGCATATGCTCCCAATATAGGATTGTAATGTGGGGACCGGGAGTTGACAATGAAAGAGTGTATACTGTGCGATGCGAGTATATTGTGTGCCTCAGTTTACGCAGCAACGTCAAATATATAGGTTTGGCGCGTATACATACTACACCTCCCCCCTTTTTAAAAGAAAAAAATTGGTTTACAATATTTTTTCAAATATTAAATTTAGTTACAACAATTCAAAACAAAATATCAAAATACATTGAAATCCGAAAATAAAA